GGAAATCATATAATAATCGTATATAATAAATCTTGGACCACACTGGTCCTAACTAATTGCCTTTCTCTTTTATTCCACTTTTTTTTTAAATTTAATTTAATTGTATTTGTCTACCAAAAAAAATCGTTTGATCGTAAAACTCACACCATTCAGCCCTCTGTCGCTCATTCTCTCGCTTTCAATTGAAAAGTGGTCGGGCTATACAACTAGAAGAAAAAAATTACATCGGAATCCCCTAATAGCTAGCAGAAGAAGAGCCTTTTATGCTTTGAACATTAATCAATTAATATAATTCATCGTATTATATATTATATATATATATATATATATGTATATGTATATATGCATACATACGTAAAATAATGTACACATATATGTTAAAAGAAAAAAAAAAAAAAAAAAAAAAAAGGCTGTCTCGCAGAAGCGGTCGCGTCCTCCGAATCCACGCAACATACATCATCGTCATTCGCAAAAAAGAATCGGTATCTCGCGATACTACAATCATCGAAAAATCAAATCAAGCTGTTTCAACAAAATAACGCGGAAAGAAGAGGAAAAAAAAAAAAAAAAAAAAAAAAGAGGGAAGGAGGGAGTTCGGGAAATGATAATAAAAGTCGCATCTCCGGGGAACGAAGATCGCGCGTCAACGTTTGCAAGAATGATCGTTCGTCGGGCTCGGAGGGCGTGTCGCGCTTCGTTCGCGTGTACGTCCGATGACTCGGCATCGGATCTCGCCAGTGTCTCGGAATCATCTCGTCTGTTGATCATTCGAAAAAAAGGAGACGTACAAATCGACAATATACACGCACATCGTTAGACGATGAATACGCGGGACAAGGAATACGTGGTACGCGCAAAAAAAAAAAGAAGAAGGCTACCGAGAACGGCGCGAGCGAATTGGAATTTCTTCGCGCGTCTTACCCTAAAAAATTGCGCTCGTGCGTACCGAGACACGATCGTCACGTCATTATTTCAGCGTGGCAGGCGTTGTAGTTGTCCCATTATGAAAACAATTTCTCTCGTGTTGGTCCGATCCTCAGCCAAGTCTTGATTTCGGACATCGCGCTACGCTACCCTGGCGTCCGTACGCACTTTTCTCCGATGTAAATCTCGTGTTGTTCCGTGTACGTATGATCGTGGTTATGGTAGTGGTGGTGGTGGTGGTGGTGATGGTATTGCTCGGTAGTATGGTTGTAATGACAAGTGATAATGCGTGTACGTGTAACGATCTCCCTGATCTCGCGTCTCCGCTTCGCTGTTACTCCGTGGTCGGTGGTGGCTCAGTACGGGTTGTACTTGGTGCGCTCGGATTTGAATTTACCGCTCTCGGTGGGCCCGGGCGCGCCAGGGCTGCGCAGCCTCGGCGTGAACTTGTGCGACCGGTGTACGCCGGTCGTCTGGACCGGTAGCGCGGATGCAGCTGCTCCAGCAGCACCACCTAGCAATTCCGTGAGTCCGCCAAGGGCGGTGAGGCTAGATAGGGCGTTGAGGGCGCCTGGCTTGCTTAGCAGCTGAGCCAAGGGAATGGCGCTGGCCAAGGGAGAGGCAGTGGTAGTGGTGGTAGAGGGAGAAGCACTGGCCCCGGATGCCCCGGGAGTGGTACCGCTGCCAGGGGTTTGGGTATTTTGGGCCTCTAGGTTAGCTTTCTGCAGTTCAACACTGGGGAAAAGACACAAAATGTAAAAAGGTCAGGGTGGGAAACGTTCCTCTCGTATAAAAAACAGTTTTTTTTTTTTTTTTTTTTTTTTTAATGTAGTTTTCATGTAAGTATTTCATATGGCACGTGTGTTATGCTTGCGTGTAGGGTATTTCTTTCGGTGTTTCATATATATATATATATATAATAATATATATATATATATATATATATATATATATATATGAATAAATACGTAATGTACAATAGCGCTCGTTTAAATTTCAATCGACCGGAGGGTTTGGTAACGATACACATTTTTCCCTCGAGCTCTTCGACAGAGAAAAAGGAATGTGGAGGCACGGCGATAAGAAGACTGAATAAAGATAAACTAAATCGAGTGTAATTACGAAGCTGGCAGATGTCAAATTAAATTGCAGTAAGAACATTCGAGAGCAACGCGGATAAAGTAAAAATTCTCAGAGGAAGACGACATTCCAATTAAAAAAAAAAAAAAAAAAAAAAAAAAACCTTCTCAAGATTAATTTTACTAACAAACTTCATTCGATGTATCATAGAACATGATCATCTACTGCCACTTGTTCCAACTATGTCTGTCTACCGTCTCAACCGATGAGTCAAGTGACACCTCGAGCTCGAGACACCGAGTATCAGGAAGCGACAGGGAGTTGGATGATTGAATTCGCTTGAATTCAAGATGAAACTCCATTGGAATTTAAACGAGCACCACCGTACACGGTTCTCTTTCTTCTTTTTCTTCTTCTGTCAGAGAGTGTATCGACAAACGAAGAAACAAAAGAAAAGAGAAAAGAAAGAAAAAGTTCTACAGTTCTTCGACTGCGTGGACGAAAGACAGAGGCGAGGGAATGAAAAAAAACAGAGGCGGAGTATGTGTGTGTGTGTGTGTGTGTGTGTGTGTGTGTCGTTGCGGTGGATGTTGCACAGTAAAATGAAACAAAATAAAACGGGTCGCTGGAAGAGTAGAGTTGTTACATCGGCTAAACGGATTGACAGAGTGGCGAAGGGTCGTGTGGCCGCTAAGTGTGTGACACGTGTGTCAAGTGAGAAAAGAAAGGAAGAAAAGAAAGAAAGAAAAAGGGTCATCAACGAGGCTTCACAGAATGAGAGAGTTATGCCACAGGTGTGTTCTATGGAGCGTGATACTCTCACGTACACCGGCTACGTGGTTGTTCGTGGTGGTGGGCGGTGGGGGTTTGGGGGGGGGGGGCGTGAGTTTTTTCCGGCGTCGGGACGCGTTTTATCAGCCCTCGAGACACCGTGAATCGACGAACCATTGGCATCGGTCCGTGTCGCCTTCCATTCGACACAGAACGACACGGTACAGCAACGTTTCGTCTCATCGTACGACGAAGCCTCGAGCACCACTGAAAATGGCGTCCTCCCGACGCGGAGGATACGCTGCAAGGAGTCTTCTCGCCGTCGAAACGAACGTTCAATCGTATTCGCGATGATAAAAACAATTATATAATGATACGGTTACTTGAATACGACAAGATTTCTCCAAACTTTCAGAAATTCACGAATACACAACGTCCGTTTCTCCGGATCAACGCAGAGCCACAGTCCGTTGGAAATAATCCGGAAAAATTCTCGATAAGACAGAAAGAAAAAAGAAAAACCATTTCTTCCCGAGTCTCGATCGAGAAGACAACTATCCATTTGAGTTATGAAGAAGCTTTCGTTCGTATCGCATCACGGATACTTTTACGTGCGAGGCGGAATGGAACGTAGCATGGCTCTGCGGAGTCCCGTCACTGAAAAGCGGAAGTCAAACTAAACGCGGGGCGCAGCATTTGCACTCTGCCGCCAAACCCAACGTACGTTGGGGGTCGAACCGGTCGAACCGCTGATTCGGCAAAACCGTCGTAGGAACGATAATTGGCTCGTACGTCAGGCGTGCACGTCGGACAGGAAGCGAAATTGAACGCCGGCAGAGTGCAGATGCTTGGCCGCGGGAATCGTGCTCAGGGGGGGTGTGGGGTGTGGGGGATGATAAACACGATACGGTATAATAATTATGACGACCAAGACTGGTTGAGATAGGTATTTACAAGAAGTAATAAATCAGGATAATATGATGAATAAATATATCGTTCGGTCGCTAGTCAAGTGCAGTAGATATATATATATATATATATATATATATATATATATATATATTTATATGAGTGACAATCTGGAATAAAATATAATATGGATTATAATTTGTAAAAGGGG